AGAAGTTTCTGTTTCCTCAGTGTAATACCTGCAGCAGATATATTGGAGCCTGAGCTACTGAATAAATGGATGAGATACAGGATTTGAAAACGCTTTATAAGCCTTAAAGCATTGTGAAAATGTTAGCTAACTATTAATATTTGAATAATTTCATTAATATCTGTAATGATATGGCAGAAGTTTTATATATACACATATATGTTTGTATGTAAGTGCTAAATGTTATGATATGGCCTATATGGGGTCGTTGTAGAATTTAAGCAAACGAAGGGCTTAACGTGGCTGATAATCATTTGGGGGCTTATGAGAGAAGGTGAGATTAGAATGGAACCTTGAATTAGGTAGCTTTTAAATATGAGAAACAATATATACAGACACATGTGTCCAGAAAAGGAAAAAGAGAAAATAGTATATTCAGGGAGTAGTAATAAGACTAGTGTGCCTAGAGAGTAAGGTATTCTTAAAAGTCGTTGGAACAGGATAGATAGAAGAGGCAAGATGTGTGACCAAGACAACAAGAGATCTTAACTGATCTGGTGAGAAATAGAGAACCTTTTAAGTTTGAGGGCACTGTGTCACCAACACAACACTCTGTTAGAATATGTTTGTCACAATTAACTTTGGTAATAAAACTGTAAACAAAAATAAATTATGGATTAGCTAATTATTTTTTTCCTTCCACAGTATATAGCTTAGATATTCTAGTGGTGATAACTATAGCTAAATGGTTTAGAATCCTTGTTGTATTCCTAAAATATTACATGACATGGCTAGACATAGATAATTTCAGAATTTAACTCAAAAATTCTGTCCCCAGCTTTGCCCTTTTCTGAGACTTCTTATTGTGATAACCTAAAGAAAATTTATAATCAGTTTTCCATACCTTATGTTATTTGATGCTATAATTTGCTTGTTCTTCCTATTTCTTTCCCTGTAGATTTTCAATGTTAAGGCTATTATAATGTCCTTTATAAGTTATGTATATTTTTCATGGAAAGAAAGGAAATTTAGCTAACTCATTACAATCATTAGCTGTAAGTCAACTAGTAACTTAGTTACAATATATTCACTTTCAGTGTTTTCTTCCTGGAGTTTCCTCTTTTCTTATACACTTTTTTACATTTCTCTGCAGTATGGATGGAGCGGATCTATGTTTTGAAATCGTAAAACGAGCTGACGCTGGTTTTGTATACAGTGAAGCTGTAGCCAGGTATGTAATTTCTATGAACTCTCCAGAGGTCAAGATGCAAGTAAAAGAAGAAAATGACCCCAAAAAAATCATATAAAGTGGCCTGTTCTTTGAACTGATGATGAGCATACTGCCACTCCCCTACAAGGCACGCATCTGTTTTAGTGTGCATAAGTGGAACCAAATAGTGACTGAAAATGCAAAATATCGAATGAATTTATTACTGTGAGTTTACAGTTCCACATTAATACCGCTATCTTTCCCATTTCTGATGAATTTTATACAAGAAGAGATTTGATAGCTCAGGAACCATGCAGAATTAAACTTAGGCTTTTTGTTTGTGTGTTTGATTTTTGTTTTTTGGCAGATGTGCCTCATTGGTTCTTTAGTTCGCCTTTTAATGATAGTGAATTATTATGTGGCCAGTTAATCTGAAGAAAAGGATAGAACAGTAGAAAGAACAGAAATAAAAGTACAGTTTTTCTGTTGAATATATTCACTTCAGGCCTTGTGGTGTGATATCCCAGTCAAATAGCAGTCATTGTTCTAAGTGGAGGAGTTATAAAGAACTAATATCTCAGAACGAGGAGTAAATATGAAAAATCAGAGGAGCCATGCACTGGGTCACTTGTTTATAGGTTTAGAGCAGCACAGCTTTCTGCTTTGGTGACAATCATATCATAAACATTCACTCCAAAGGATTGCCTTTTTAATACGTGTGGTACATACATTAATGGCGTACAGCATCTCTCCTCAGTCACCAACCATAATATATTGAAGGATTTAAACACACAAATCCATTGGGATTTATTAAAACTTTCTACCATTTAAGAAACAGTGACCACTAAATGATTGTAATGTCTTCGTCTTCCCTCTTATCATTCATTTTATAATTGCGGCATCATGGACAGATGTAGCTAGAAACAGCCTAGAAGACTACCTCATACAACTTTTAGCTCAGAGTGGCTTGACTTCTTCAAATTCATTGCCCTGCCTCCTCCTGCCTGAGGAGCAAGGGCCCCAGTCTCAGGAGATGGAGCAGCCATAACTATAGCACAAGATAAAGAATATACTCAATTTGAGATAGCTGCTGTTTTGTGCTAGTGGAGCTAGGAAGAAGAAGCAAGTGAACATTTATATATATTAACTAAATATATCAAATATATATTATTAAATATATTGCTAAATATCTTCTTTTCTTTTGTGCCATGCTCATTCAAGCACATTCTAGGGTTTTTTTAATCTCATTTTTCTATTGTTTTGAGTTCTTACCATAGTTTTAAGTTTTATTCTTTATTGTGCTTCAGAATTAAAAAACATTCTTTAATACCAAAAATAGCCATGTCGGTTTTTCTTATGGCAATAGTGGTAAACTACTTTATCCAACTACGTGAAACTGTCAGACTTTTTCATATCATTATTTACATATATTTCTTTAAGAATTTGAGGCAGCTTGCCTTTTGTTCTTTCCATATTGACATCTTTCAACAGCAGCATCAAATAGGGAAAACTGGAAATTCTGAATGTTGATTTTCTAAAACATAAACCTTGATAGAGGAAGATGACTTTTTCCTCTTGAACCACAGTAACGCTGAAGTACCTAGCATATCTGCTGGCAATGTTGATGTTAAACCAGTACCACTTTTACTTGGTCCCCACTCATCAATATTTCTTTTCCTTAACTTCAAGTCTGCCTCTGCCACTGGGCTGGGTGTCAGAATAGGGAAAATAGTAGAATGTAGAGGTGATGTCATACAGTGAAATGACTTGGGGGGTCTCTCCCAATCTTGAGATTTATAGAAAAGGTAGATGTTTATATAAATCAAGATGAAAGCCTGTTGATTTTTAAATCACCTATATTTGCTGCTAAAATGGTGGTTTCATGAAAGGAACTTTCCAAAATGGACCAGAAAAAAGTAGCATTGAAACCAGTAAGTAACACTGCAGAAAGACAACTTTTGCACGATTCATTAAAGACTCTTTCTAAAAATGACCAAAAGGCAGGGGGTGGGGAGGTGCAGCCTCAGAAAGTATTATTAGGTATGTTTCCTACTGCAGAGGATCAATGACCATGTAATAAGAGTACATAGATCCTTTTTTTAAATGTTCAACCAGATGATTTCTAACCTTCCTTTCTCTTCTGATTCATTGTTGGGAAATTCAGCTTACATCAGTATTCTAGTGAGACCAACTGCAAGAAGACTCTGAGACACTGAGTAATCAAATTGATAATGTTGTTTTTCTCCAACTGGCTGAACTTCAAGAGGAGCAGCAAAGCATGGCTAAAATAAAACTGTGTTCAGTCCTTACAACCCAATTAGTGATTACCTCTGTTCTTTAGGTGATGAGTTGAGGCATGAGCTAACATACAGGATCAAATTATCAAATCAAAGTCTCACAAATCAAAGAGATCTTACCTAGTACCAAGCTTTACTAAATAATTATAAGGACACAGGCAATCAAAAGGCTCAGCTGAAGCAGAAAGAGATCTAGGCCTTCAAAGGGCAGCTTGCCACCTCATTCCTTCCCACATCATTCCTTCCTGTGTCAGAAATGCCCCTCTGGCCCAGAATAGGTGGGGTCTCTACATGAAGTTTGTGGGGTTACACACACAGAGGGGAGCATTTCAATTATTAAACCTCTCCATTGTATACCCGGAGAGTTGTGTAGCTTACATGACATCCTCCAGGAAGTCATCCATGCCTCAAAGATCCCAGGTTCTATTTACCACAGGTAATCCTTAGCCAGGAACATTCTGTTAAGGGCATTTCAGAGATAAGTTCTCTTCTGCATAGCAAAGAGCATTAATATTTTTACCCAGAGTTGACAAGGAGAGTAGACCAAGTCACCTCCCTTCCTTTCTTCCACCACTCCTAAAATGCTTCCTTACAAAGGAAGTGAGTGTATTGCTGGCCAACTCTTTCCTTCCATGGAGTTCTCATTATTCCTGATCCTTAGGGAAGATGGAGACAAACATATACTGCTGAGTTTCTCTGCAAAGATAGGCCACTATGATGCTTCAGGAAATGGAACTCTTTGGTTAAAGTTTAGTCAGGAACTCTCTAGAATGTGTGGGTGGATTTCGGTTCTCTCTTTATTCTTTTTACTTGCATATTCTTCACATGAATAGCCTCCCAGGGTCATGCCCGAAAAGGTAGAGAAAGATCAGTTTAAATCTGTTATATATGGAGAGAAAACAATTCTACACATACATAACCCAGAGATTCTGATATGTATGTATATTTGGATGAAATAATTGAATACTCTGATATTCAGATTTTAAAATATTCATTCAGTGAGTATTTTTTGAGGCTCTTTGAGATTAGAATTTTCTTTAGGCTAAAGATATAAGTGGCTGTCCTAGTACCATATATCCAAAGTAGTCCATACTGTAAGTATAAGCTATGTCCACATCACCTAGTTTAAACTTACCCACTGTTCACATCTAGGTGCACAAATAAGCTGTTCCTAAATCTTCGACTAAATTTAACAATAATAATAAAATTGTAATACTAATGACAGCCTTTGTAGCATGGTTTAGAGTTTACAAAGCACTTTCACATTTTTCGACTCCACCATTTCAGGGAGTCGCAGATCCTCCAAAGCCTGATTTGAACCAGGAAAGGGCCACAACACCAAGTTAAGAACCCTTAACTCAAACAGAGCTGCATTGTCCCAGGCAAAGAGTATGTGACCACAACTCCTTATGTGTGCATTTGCAAAGTAAGAAAAATGGAACATCTAAGGACTTCATGAGCCTACCTCTCTACTTAGAGCTTAGTTGTAAGGAGACAATAAGTACAGGAACAATGTCTGGGTTGATTTGTTTGTTTTCCTACCTTTCTTTTTAAAAAATGAAATAATGCATATGCTTATAAGAGGACATTTATATTGAGTTTGGTTAGAAAGTAACATACTAAAGTGGGAATTTAATGGAAATATCTTTCAATTGTAAAGCAGGAGTGGGAAAATTTTTTTGTCTTGAGTCACAAGTACACAAGTACACACACAAGGTCATTTATAAGTGCTATTTGTTTCATTTTTATTTTAAAGTGTGGGGAATATAAGATCTGGAAAGATAAAATTCAGTAAATATGCAATAAATAATATTGAGTATATTGCATTTCTATGTCATGGCTGATTGGGGAAAGAAAAGGAGAAAATGAGAAAGGAAGAGAGATAATAGGAAAAAAAGGAAATACATGAAGAGAGTAAAATGCAGAGGAAGAGAAGATGAAAAAGACACTCAGAATGAAATAGTGGGATTACAGAAGAAGAACTTTAGAATTGAGGGAAGGAAATCAACATAAGTTCTGAAGAAATACTGAATAAACTACTCTTGTCACACCCTATGTGGACTTCTTCAAAAGGCTAACTCCTCAGTGGACCCAGCGAGGAGCCTTAACGAACCCCTGGTGGCCATGTGAGAAGTCCTACTTCCTAGGACTTAGGCCCAGTACAAACTCTGCTTTGTTCAGGGATGCCCCAACTAAAACTTGATTATGTTGCAAAAAGAAATTGTGGACATAAGGGGGTTCTCCCCTCTCGTTCATCCTTAGAGCTAAAGGGACATAAGGCAGAGAGCCAGCCTCTGCTGGCAGATAAAAGGCCCCTAACCCTTTAGTCAGAATTCTTGGCATACCTCTGAGCACTGTTCACTTAATAGCAATCCAGTATAATTAAGTAGTATAACTGAGTATCAGAGAATTCTTTTCATGCTGGAATTTTTAGTTTGCAGAGCTATTTTACTTATAAACTGTTTGAAATTCTTTTGACTTAGATATCTTAAAAAATATAGAACACATGATTTCTTCATGAAGCTCATAAACTTATGATACTGCCAACTTTTTGTTATTAAGTCATCACTTTTGTTATTAAGTTATAACGTTCCACCATTCTTGTCTACTCAAATGGAAAGTGTGCACAGGCAGCAAATATGAACGTGGGAGTTACAAACTAGTAATTATATACAAACTAGTTATTATATACAGCTGTATATTAAGTTTGAAAAATAAAAGGTTTTTTTACAGTTTTAGATTTCTTTTGTTTTTCTACAGTCATTACATGAGACAGATACTGGAAGCTCTGCGCTATTGTCATGATAACAACATAATTCACAGAGATGTGAAGGTAAGTCACCTTTATCACTAACTTTAATATTTGTGAAGAGGAACTGACTTATAATAATGATATTAATTAGAAATTTTTCTCTAATATTCTTAGGGAGAGCATCTTAAATTTTAGAAATAAAATATTATTTAACTGCTTTATATTTGGGGAGTCACTATACTAATTCTTAAAGCAGCACTTTTTATAATTTCAATTTCCTTATTTTTATTAAAATATACATACATTCTAAAATTCTGTTATTTCTTTTTTTGCCATTCTATATGTGAGAGAAGAATGAAAAATCCAACAAATAGGAAAAAACAAACAATATCCTATGCTAAGTTAATTGCAGGGGTGAGAATTTGGTTTATGTAGTAAAAGGTCATCATACACTTATGTTTTTGTAATGTGATGTAGAATAGTCAGCATTTTATTATTTTTGCAAATAATTTTTAAAAATAGTCTGAAATTATTATAGATGTAATATTGTTTGTACCCTTAGGTATATGAATATTACCATTATTCAGTCTTTCTTCCTGTTCAATTCCAGTATCAAGTTTATGAGAACTGCCAGTCCTTGGCTCTGAACAGTGTCAGAAAGAACATGGAGACATGCAGGAAAAGAGACCAGTGGGTCTTCTTCCTGATCCCCAGCCCCTTCCTAGGCCTTGAATCACTAAGAGCCCCTGAGGTCTCTCTGGCCTTGTTGTCCACTTTCAACACTCTAATATTTTGTCACTGGCCTCTCTCTCTAACCCTCAGCATCTATAGATGTGGTGCTCTCCTTCCCTCAGGACATATTATCAAAGGCCTGGCTTTTTCAATGTATTTTAATGGTTAAGAAAATCAAGTAGAGTTTAGTTAAATTCTCTATAATGTTTGAGAAATTTTAACTGAATGTCTCGTGGTTAAAGCTGAGGAAAATCATGAGCAATTTCAAGACAATCTCTTGGCATGTTATAATAACAAATGAAAAATCCAATGGGGTGGTTCTGGTCAAGATGGTGGAGTAGATAAACACTGTGCTTAACTCCTCTCACAACCGCATCAAAATTACAACTAGATACAGAACAGCCATCACTGAAGTCTAGCTGAACAGAAGTCCTACAATGGGAGACATATAAGAGGCTACCTCAAGAGTGGTAGGAGGAGTGGAGATGCAGAACGGCCTGGTCCCCATACATGCCTGTGGTGGCTGAGAATCAGGAGGGATATCTTAGCAGCAAAGGTACCCCCAGAGGAGCGAGTGGTCCCAGCCCCACACCAGGCTCCCCAGCCCAGGGTTCCCGCACCAAGAAGAGAATTCTGGCTATGAAAACCAGTAGAGATTGTGGCTAAGTGAGACAGGTCAGCAAAAATCGCAGACATTCCTCTTCAGGGGCCCATGTGTGGACTTACTTGCTGATGGACTCACTGGCTCTGAGCTCCAGCGCTGGGGCAACCAGTGCTGTCTGGGACATACAGGGAGGAACTGAATTTTCTGGCTTCGAGGTGAAAGCTGGAGAGGGAGTTTTCTCCCAGACACAAGTGCTGGCAGAATCCATTGTCTCTTTGTTAAGCCCTTCCCTGTACTAGCATGCACATGCAGGAGGCCACAGCTAACACTGGTTGCCCCTCCCTGGTGATTCCCTGAGACCCTGACCCACCCAACTTATGGGCTCACCCAAGCCTCTTCCAGTGGCTTTTCCATACAAACAGCCTGGCTTAGCTTATGCTGCGGACTTTCCTAAAGTCTCTCAAAGGTTCACAAAACCCAGATAAGCAGCATCTGGCCTCGGCATGCTCCATACCTCTTACTGAAGAGCCCCAAGCCCAGCACTACCAGCAGCTGGCTTTGGTTCATGGTTTGGCCTCTTGAGGTACCTCTAAGCCCAGCATGAGTGGCGGCCATCTGCATATTGCTTAGTGACTCTTGCCAGGTGGCCTCACGCAGGGCACAGGCTACAGCTGAACTTGCCTGTGGAGGGGCCCCTCCCAGGAGGCCCCAGGACTGGCATGCCCTTGTGGCAGCTTCTGACCAAGCCAGAGCACCACCCAGGGCTACATTCGAGGACAGCATATCCAAAGGACAGACTGGGCAGGCACCAGGGCCCTGCTAAAGTGAATCTTGCTCCATAGGATCAGCCTCTCACTGGCCAGTCCTCACAACCAATCAGCCTGAAGGTTAATCCCTCCCATTTACCTGCAAACAGCAATCAATGCTCAACTACAAAAGGAAGGCACTCACAACCCATACAAGGGACACACCTCGAGCGCCTGGCTCAGATCACCAGGGAAGACTCCACAGGACACCTACTACATAAGGCCATTCTCCTAAGGCCAGGAGACATAGCTAGCCCTACCTAATACATATAAACAAACACAGGGGGGCAGCCAAAACAGGGAGATAAGGAAACATGTCTCAAATGAAAGAACCAAATAAAACTTCAGAAAAAAATTATAACTGAAATGGAGACAAGCAATCTGCCAGATGCAGAGTTCAAAACACTGGTTAAAAAGATGCTCAACAATCTCAGCGAGAATTTCAACAATAAACTCAGAGAACTTTAACAAAAAGAGAGAAAAACATAAAAATGGAGATGGAGAACATAGAAAAGAGCCAGTCAAAAATGAAGAATACAGAGGAATTGGATTAAACATGGCAGAGTGAGACACGTCCCCAGATCTCTCCCCTTGAAACAACAAGTTGAACATCTAAAACTCAACAAAAAACACTCAAACTGCACACCAGCATATCTGAGTGTGGGATCTGTGCATAAGAGCTACCACAGGTCAGACCCCCAGATGTTGGGTGGTAGACTGGGAGAAATAAAGAAGCTGCCTCTCACAGCCGTTGGAGCTCCCTGCAGGAGGAGGGGGAGAGGAGAAGGTACAGCAAGTTCCCTGAACAGCCCTGCCTGGGAGTGCTGTGAGCTCCACGCTGTCAGCAGCAGGGCCAAGTCATCAGGGCAGAAGGCAGAGAAACAGGGACAGCAGAAAAGCGGGGACGGCAAAGAAACAACAGTTG